TGGAAAAGTAGGCTCCGTTGTTTCCCCTATAATCCTTTTTCCTTTTATTCCAACCAGTTCCGCAAAGTTTTAGCGATTAGCATATTTGCAAAAAATCCGTTCCGCGTCCAGCTTGCACGCGACTGGGCTGCAACAAAGCATGGTTAAGATTAATTTTTAATGCGTCTCTCGACGAATGAAAATATCTCTCGTCGCTGATTATCTCTTTTAAATTCAACGCTAAAAATTATGGGTTACCATGGATAATCATTACGGAATTAAAATGCAAAATAGTACTCGTAAAAAGACAATTTTTTATGATACATACATACACCGATGTTGTTTATACTGCATTCTGTTTTGCAAAGTAAATAAACGCGAGATAAATTACTGCCATTAATCATGTGCATTTAAATTCATCAAGATTTAAGCATTAATATCAAATGCATTTCAATCACTTAGCAGGTCTTCATTTATGTCTCGTTATTAATTGGTCCATTAATAATATTACATCTTCATGTGCTTTACGAAAGTAATAAAATGAACGAAAACTAGGAGAGAGAAGAACTGATACACATATCGATTGAATAAAAGATTATCATATATTCTGAAATTTTCATTACAATGATATACAATTATAATAATGTATAATTAAAATATATATGTATAATATAACTATATATAAAACATGATCGTATCGCACAATACACAAAAAATTAATAAATAAAATACTGAGTATTATTAGAATACACTACATTTATAATAAATTCAATTTTATTAATTTAATATATTATATATATATATATAAAATTTCAACAAGAAACAAATATTTATCTAATAAAGCGAACGAAAATAATTTTCAAAAAATTGAAAAATCTAAACATATCAAAATCAATTAATTTTTTTAAAGATAAATAATTTCTCTATACATTTTTGATTTTATATTTATTGAATAGCATATTATAATTCTTTTTTTAAATAAAAAAAATGCTAGTATAATACTTTATATATTAGTTATATACATATGGCTTTTGTACTACTTCTTCTTTAGAATAAAATTCGCAAATTCTCTAGACGTAGTTCGCGTTGTACGCAAAAAGGCGCATACACCACTATTGAATTAAGAACCAATCGGAAACTCTCTCGAGAACCACTGCGATGCAACTTGCGCAATGCGTACATTGTCGCGTTACCGCGCGCGAAATTCACCGATTTCCCTTTGTGCGGGAAACGCCTCCGCGTCTCTTTGTACCGTAAGAAATTCACGTCGATGTAACTTTCATCTCGCCTTGTTGCACGCAATTTATGCGCGTCCCCACGACCGCCGCTTTCCTGGGCGCAATTTAAATTGGATTGCCGGCGCGCCGGCGAAAACGCGAATTAATCTCGAGATTAATTAGCGAAAATACACTTAAACGGCCGCGATCCGTCCGCGAGAATGTCGGTCGACGGATGAGACGTGGCGTCACACAGCCGTGAATAATCCTCTTCATACGTCTAGCGCGCGTCACAGAACGAGCAAAGCGCTCGCGGAAGATGCTCCGCGTTTCTTGCATAACAAGTGTTCCCGGATCCGCTGCCGCGGATTTCACCTGGAAATTGAAATTACTTTCTCCACAGTTTAATGGCAAATCATTACTTATCGCAAGTTTTCAATTTGCGAGATTAAACGTTTTAATCTCGTCAAATCTCGTTAGAGAAAGATTCATTCTGTCATTTATTCGCGTAAGATTAAGTTAAAGACATTATGTGCTTGTTACCTGTCTATATTTTGATAGAGCTTTGTGCATCATTTCAAAAAAATATAATAAAAATAGTTAGTGCAATTAGAGTGGAAGCTATATATATTTACATATGTACATATACATATAATAAGATAGACGTGTGCACAGCTTTTGAGGTAAACCGGAGCCATAATTATAACGGCGTGAGGAGTTTCGCGAGTTTCAGCCAATTATAATGAACTCTCGTGGTTGCAGGTTGAAGACAGAGATACTTATACGTCGAGTACGTTGTATGTAACGCGGTTACCAGATAGTTACGCATATACATTTCCGCGTATGTTTTACACCCGGATTGCGAAGACAACGCGTAATATGAAATGTTGTCTGTATGGAATTGAACTGAATGTTAGCGTCATTAATTTTGTCAAGGATATGTTTCGAATTTTTTTACAATCTTTTTCACATCAGATCGTAAGCGTTCAAAATTTTTGGCATATGACAATCGCGGATTGATATCGAGTTAAACAAATAAGATTAAAAATCGAACAAAGCCGCGATAGTGTTATAGAGTTTGTAACTATCATGGTTGATTTGAAATGTATGTACGTACATTATGAAATGAACGAACGCGTCTGCAGATGGATTAAATCCTGTCTACAAAATGCATAAAGCAGCTTTCAGTGAAATGAGCTTTTGAGCAAATGTTGATCTTAAACTGGATAGCATTAATTTATTGTCGCATACCTGTTAAATCGAAAAGTCATTGAACACATTTTTGCATTTAATATAACGAGTGAAATAATATATAATTAAAGACAAAAAAAATAATAGTTTATCAAAATATGCCACTGAAAACCGGAAAATATTTTGCTTTCGTTTTGCACTCGTGTGATTTGCGCTAGTTTTTATGTAACAAAAGTTTTTTCCTAAATCTTATTTCTCCTCTATCTTTTTCCAATATCTTTGAAAGTTTATAACTTTGGAGTGCGGAAGGAAAAACTCGTAATATCTCTCTTGTCATGTCCAAAGGATACAATTTATCTCAGCAATGTTAACACATATAGCGAAAGCATATCTTGGCAAAGTGTTGACAGAAAGATGAGACATGTTTGCATTTATGTTTGCTTTAGAGACTATAATGCATTGTGAACCTATAACGCATCTGGAGTAATAAGATCTAAGTGAAGTTGAGTATGTGGTCAATATAAGAAGTGCAAACAGTTTGCAGTCAGCTAGTAATAAGAGTCTGTATATAGTCAGCCCAGAACACGAACATTTAAGGCAATATCTTCAAATATAAATAGAAAACGACAGATATAAGTAGATAGAATATAAAAATATTTGTCAATTATATATTTGCGAAAATAACAATAAAGAATATGCAAATATAAAATAATTTATGTTATTGTACAAATATATATATATATATATATATATCAATTTAATGCAAAAAAAATATAATATTTAGAGATTTTCAACTAAAGTATCAATTAATGTAAATACGATATAATACTGTAGATATATATTAGTCGCGATAATTAATTCTAATAGAGAGAAACAGAGAAACAGAGAGGGAGAGAGAGTATAACATTACAGTACTAAATTCGTTACATTATACAGAAATTATCTCATTAATTAATGTTATTAGTTATTTTTAGGGTTGGGTAAGTTAATGATTTTTTAAAACTAACAATGAGTTAAGTTAAAGTTAATTGCTTATAAAATTAATTTAGTTAAGTTAAAAATTGCATGAACAAAAAATTAACTTGTCAGTTAAAGTTAAGTTAAGATTAAATTAACTGAAGTTTCCAAAATTAATTTGTAAAAGCATTTATATTAAATTAGAATTTTGTTTGTTAATTCTTTTAAAATTTATAATAACAAACAACAAAGAAATTTTGATATATTTTTTGGTAATTACAATTGATGACAAATGAACATCAAAATTAATAATACCTATTAATTTAAAAATAATACGTTTATAACTTACAAAAAACAATAAAAATTTAATAAGTTTAAGATCGAAAATAACTAGTTGAAGTTAAAAATTAATACATTTTAAATTAACTAAGTTAAGTTAAAAGTTATTAACTTTTTAACTTATTTTAACTTTTAACTAATTAACTAGTTATTACCCAACCCTGGTTATTTTAGAGTTTATACATATATGCGTTCTGTATGTGCTTTACATGTTAAAAATATCAAAATCTATTTTTTCGTATAATGATATGTGTTTTCCAAAGTGTTCGTGAAATCATACGACGTATTATAAATGCATTATAAAAGAAGCGTGCAGAAAAAGAATGTCACTTACACGAAATTATTAATTCAGACCTACGTAGAACAATCTTCTAAAAAATGTCTCTGCCTTTTTTCTATCAAATACAGAAACTATACATGGCGTGATATGTCAGTATGCATACCTACCGCACTTATAAACTATTTACGAGATTGCCGGGGAAGCGACAAACGGCGCAATTTTGTACTCGGCGTACGATCGCGAACGCGCGATATCAAAGTAGCAGAATGGTAATTGAACGATGCCCAGATACACGCGATTTTGATCTCTTGCCGGATCTCTTCTGTCATAACGCGGACCACACGCCGATCGACCGCACTCGCGTTTTATAGTGCCCGATGTAAACGACGGCAGTAATCCCAGATGGTCAGCGTGAGTGCTCGGAATATAACGTGTGTGCCGTCTGTATAACGTTGCGTGTAATTGAGCTTATGGGAGTTTTTGTTCTCTATATCGTATATATCTTTTTGTTGATCGATCGAGCGAGCTTTGCAGTTGTTCGAAACTTGTTTTACTATTGCGTGTGCATTCGAGAATTTTTAATCGTTTTGCAACAACTTCTAAATTGTTGATCGTTTACGCTCTACGAAATTTAAAGTAATGATAATTATCTGACACAAGGGAATTCCAGGTATGTTAAATGTGGAATTGTGTAACATAAGTTTGTAATTAAATCCTTTGTTATTTACATTCCGCGATCGTTATTCTTGAAGGTAGGAGCTAACTGATACAATAAGATAAGTAAATATTATATATTAGTAGACTTTAACTTACTATTTACTACAGGGAAATAAATTAGAATGTATGATCGTATTAACTAAATTTATGATTTTGAGATTTAAAGTAAAATATTTACATTTTGAATTTAATTTGCAAACTAATGGATAATAGTATAAATACACACACACACACAAATTTTTAATGTAGAAAATGTGCAATAAATTAAATAGTATATTATATAATAGTTTAAATAATCATTTATTGCAGGCTGGAGTGTATTAATTTCTGCATTATATAATTTAAAAAGTAGCTTTCGTAATGTGGATCAAGAAAAATCAAATTATACATAGAAAAAATGTTGCAACACAAGTATGGAGTACGAAAGGCTTTCCGAAATCACCAACGAAATACCGCAGTTGTAAAGTTATATTGAAATATTTAAAGTTATATTGTCAGTATTCCAGTTTAAATAGCTTAAAGTATCTCGTCGATTCTAACAAAACTTGGTTTGAAAGGTAACTAGTCACGTTTTAAATTATATACAATTTATTTATAGTACAATTATTGAATTCCACGTGAATGAAAGTATAAATCTCAAAATATAAAATTTTCGAAATAATATCAAATTAAAAATATATTTGAGACACTATTTTCCAATTTTATATATAAATAATTGAAAGAGAAAGGAACATATTCTAATCTTATACAATTAATTAAGACATGCAAAAAATTAAGAAAAAAGTTATAAGGAAGATGCATCAGAAATTTTTATTTTAACTTTTACAAAGTACATATACTTACAAGCAGCTACAACTGTGTCGACTGTTAATGGAATTGTATTCAAATTCTTTTCTACTCTAAGTATTCTGTAAGTTAAAATAAAAACTTTAAATGCATTTTTCTTTCGAAGCAAGTTTTTGCACTTTTCAGCCATTGTTTCAATTAATAACAAACTTTACGTTTTAATATTTCAATTTCGGTAAATAAAAAAGGAAGGGACATACAGACGAAAAGAAAAAGAAGAAACAGTCATATATCAACCATATATTTTTATAGTATATATTTATATCTAACTTATATCAATTTAATTCTTTATTTAATAATTTATTTATTAAATCGGATATATAATAAGCTTCTTATCTATTTTATTTGCACCTTTAAAGAGAAAGGGAGGACAGAGGTGAATTATACGTGATAGCAAGCATTTTGTATCCGGCAAAGGTAACACTTGTACGACAAAACTTTACTCGAGCGGGATTTATTTGGATGTTAAATAACCCATTTAGTGGCGTAAGCTCGCGCTCGAAAACTCAACTCGCTAATACGATTATCGGCCCTTTATCAAAGCAATGATAAAAGCGGTTCGCGCAGACTATGCTCGCGGATTAGCCGCGAGACGTTACGGACTCGTACATTACATCGGTTCGCGCGTAAGCGCAACATATGATTAAAGTTACGCGGTTTAACGAGCGGTATTCTCGTTTCACAGAGAGATTAACGATGCCGCGGAGTAGGGATTCTTGAATTCATAGCGGGACCACACAAATCAGGTCGTCCACAAATCACGACCCTGTTTCGCGAAACAAAACGAATGCGCGACGCGAAAGAGGGAAGAAAGAAAAAAAATAAAAGTAAAAAAATTAATGAAAATAAAAGAGCGTAATATTCCGCAAAACGGCAGAGTCACGTCGCGACACGGCGCCTCCGGTTGATTTAATGTAACATTACACGTCATACGTGACGTTAATAGCGCCGTGTAAATTCGGTAATGAACGTGTTACGGTACGAACGAGAATAAATTATCGCTCGCTGCCAACTGGCCCGTGGCTACACACACATTCGTATTCTTGTTTTTTGCGCCTACAACAATTATTTCAATTAAAAAGTGAATTAATTTAATAAATGAAACGACGATTCTTCAATTGACATTTTAAAAATGTCGTTTATGCAATGTAGAGATTATAATATTAAATGTTAGGTACATAATAAATATTCTTTTCAATCAAATCTCTATTTGAATTAACATTTTTTTCAGAATTCTGTGGGTCATAATACATTGCGTAATTATATCTGGTTTGATATTTCTCGTTTATATTTCCTATAAAGAATTCGTGACTTCGCCTATACTGACTTCTATGGACAGTGATAGTTATAGTACGGTCAAAATAGATTTTCCAGGTATGAAGATTAATCAATTTCCTGACATTTGCAAGCATAGTTATAAAAATTTAGTTTTGTTATGACATAATATTTTTGATACAATATAACTTTTTGATATAAACATATCAAACGATTAATCTATTATAACTAATAAAACTATTATATGATTTCATAAAAAAATATTATTTCTCTCTAGTATTATTTCTTTTCAAATGAATAGTTGTCTGGAAACTATAATATTGAAGAATCTCGATATTGTGACAATTAAAAAAATCTAAACTTTACTTTGCGTCAAGTTCTTAAATGAGGACGGAAAAGAAATAATTAAACCAATTGAATAAATATCAAAAGAATTAAGTTGATTATTGACAAAAACATCAATCAATAACACAAATATAAATTCTTGCACTCTCGTTGACTATTTTACATTTCTAATACATAAACATAACTCTCCTCTGAAACAGAAAATGTTTTATTTTTTATTTTTGCCGTTGCGCACTATGTAATATAAGTTAACAATATTAAGCAAAGAGAGAGAATTAAAAAAAAAACATTTTATTTATAAATGGGAAAAATTTTTATATTTTGATAGAAAAAGACAAGCAATATTTTTTTTCGTTTTTTCCAATTTTTCCGTTCTACTACGTTGTTGATAAAAAAACACACTGATGAATTTCCAGCAATCGCCATCTGTCCCATTAATAGGATAAGTCGGCAATCCGCGACAGAATTGGCAACCGACATGTGAGCGATTTTATGTATTAAATAAACGCACACACGTACATATATTAAACAATAAATGTATTCACATTTGCACGAATAACGGCGAGGTGGTGATGCACGTCGCAGCTCGTTCTAGCATTTTAAATGCATGTAGATATGATTTTACACTAAATTGTACCAATTGTACCAATCGCGCAACCGACCTGGATTACTCGAAGTTGCACTAGCTGTTTAGCGCATATTATTCCACAAATTTTCTCTGCACGTGTTAAAATGGTCACCGGTTACCGGTGCAACGCGAATCGCGAGCACGTATCCGCAAATATCCCCTATGTCGGCTCGATCGCATGAATTACACTTTCAGATTACGTCAGCATAAAAGCGACCATGCAAATATTTTGCAGTATCGATGATGCTCTGTCAATATTACATTATGCATTATTATTGATCGTATTGACATAAGTTTATCGTCGTTATCAGACTCGTGGAATTCTCTCACATAGATTCTTAAACAAAAAATTATCAAATCGATATTAAAAATATTTTCAATATTTGTTATTATATATTTTAAATATTTTATATTATATTTTTAATATTTTTCTTCTTTTTTATTAAGCTACTAGAGTTAATAGCAATATTTGTAACTTAGCCAGTGACAAATATTGATTTATATTATCCAGAGAATCATAAGGACACACACATTGCAATAATGGATAATTGATGAGTAATATAATCTCACCGATTATAAACCATTGTGGTGTAACAAATGATGTGTGCTCGTGGTCGATAGGTGCGAATTCATCGTTGAGGATGAGTTCACTAACCATGGTGGCATTCCCATAGGGAGTTTAGATTTGGGGTAGGTAGGATTAATTTGCCACGGTTGACGTGCGATATATACGAGAAGCTTAATTGACCGATCAACGCACACATCGAATTCTGCTCTGCTTTTTACGATGTCGCGAGTCAATTGGCACACCGATTATCGTTAATTCGATGCCGCGCGCACTTGGAACGCAATGAGAACGAATCGATGCATTGCGCATTGATGGAGAGCGTAGAATCGGCGTGGTTACGGCTCATTTAATAGGGCGTTAATGTCCCAAAATCCAGCCGTTTCGCCCGGTGCTACCTCGTAGCCACCCGCAAACTTTCGCCCTCACGTAATGGAAGAGACATTTCCGGAATCGTTGATTCGGAACCGAAACCCTCTTCGTGAAATTTCGTGGGTAGGTTTGGCAGAAAAGTTTTCACCTCGTTTGCGCGCTGATTAATATCACATTGATTTTTATTAAACTCGCGTTGCGTTGCTGATTTATCAATTTCGAACAAGAGCTTGTTAAATGTATTATTTTTAGGGGTAAGTATTGTATAATATTATCAAACATATTTCTAATATTCTTTTATACAGCTTTTTTATTTTTCAAATTGTTATATATGTATAGTATATATATATATATATATATATATATATATATATATTTTTTTTTCCAGTTTTCATGCAAATGTTACGAATAAATCAATCCGTGAAATTATGTATCTGCTCCAACAATTAGGCAATCATTATTCTTCTAATTTCGCAATAGATGAAAAAAATAATTCGGAGTTAGATCAACTTTTAGTGGATTATTACAAAGGATTTTACGATATTACTGATACGATGAAAAATGTACGTATGTAATAAAATTAATGCTATATAAATATGATGCGCTAGAATTTTATCTATAGAATTATCTATACAATTTTATTGGATTTTTCTTTTAATTAAATAATAACTAATAATAAGGACTAATAATTCCACATTTTTTAAATTTTGAATTTAAATAGTATAAATATAAATTTAACGTATAAGACGGGCAACAAGAGCCAAATCGCGGATGACAATGCGTTATCCTAACGAAACTAAATAATTTTTCGTTAGAATTAAATACCGGTGCACAAGGCACCAAATTTTTACTTGGACACGGCCAAGATTTAAAATATGAAATAATCTCATATTTTGAGATTTAATTTCAATACCCCTTTAACCCCCCTACGGAAAATAAATAAATGAATGCAAGAGAAAAATATAGATCCGAAAATCGCTGAATCGGGAATCGAACCCGAGACCTTTCGCTTGCCGGGCGACTGCTCTTCCAGCTGAGCTATTCAGATCCTTTCGATTCTATACTTTTCTCTGTTATATATATTAATGTTGGTAAACAAACGCATTTTTTAAGAGCAGTCGCCCGGCAAGCGAAAGGTCTCGGGTTCGATTCCCGATTCAGCGATTTTCGGATCTATATTTTTCTCTTGCATTCATTTATTTATTTTCCGTAGGGGGGTTAAAGGGGTATTGAAATTAAATCTCAAAATATGAGATTATTTCATATTTTAAATCTTGGCCGTGTCCAAGTAAAAATTTGGTGCCTTGTGCACCGGTATTTAATTCTAACGAAAAATTATTTAGTTTCGTTAGGATAACGCATTGTCATCCGCGATTTGGCTCTTGTTGCCCGTTACGTTAAATTTATATTTATATTTATATTTAATTTATATTTATATTACAGAGCCTTGTTAAAACTCTTATATTAAATAGTATAATAATGAGAATTTGAATTAAAACTTGTTTGAAGTCATTTTAAATGTAAATTTCTCGAAAAGTTTGATACTCAATTTTTTACTAGCATTTATTACCATAAATTTATTTTTTCAGCTTTAAATTTTTTAATAATTCTAAAAAATAAAATCTATACTTATACACGAGAGATCGCGGTTGTAGCACTTTATTTATTTATAATAATACAGTTGTATACATTAAATTGCATTTCCCGTAGAGATTAATTAAACATTATGTACATATGTGTATATATGATTTGCGTGCATCAATTGCCATTGCTATCACGCGAGTTATGTCGGCAATTCACGTGTTGTACGCTTAAATTTTCCAGTTGTCGCCGCAATGCTTGACGATGCTACTGAGGTGTAAGCTGCATGGGACCTACAGGAACTGCTCGCAGCTTTTCGAGTTTCGCAAGACGCAGGACGGATTCTGTTGCACCTTTAATTACGTACGTGAAAGGGACGACATTCCCACGTGAGTATTCCGTGCTTTCAGAATGGTGAACAGACAACATGCAGTAGTTTAACTGCTTACCCGTTTAGTTTACGCTTTCCCGGTATGCTCTTTCAGCATAAGCAAACGAAACTACACTAAGACTACTTCAGTAGTGTTGGCAGAAAAATGTTTTATTTTGTATTTATTTTTTATCATTATATTTTTTATTACATCTTGGAGTAAATATATTATTTTGTAAATAAATATTATTATTTTTTGTAATTATTTTAAATATGTATATATATATACATAATTTTTAATTATATATATTTATATAAAAGTTTACGCTCTTACGCTGATATATTGAATTGATTTATAATATAAAGTACATTAGTTTTAATAAATGGTTCACGATATTTACTTACATCGATTTAACCACGTTGATTAGAATCTCTGTTTGTCGATTGTATCTCAGAAAAATAGTGTTGCATTTTATTTCTATATATTACTCTAATTTATAATTTTTATATTTTGTTTGATATTTAGAATGTATTGCTTCGAAATGATAAAATGATAAATGATAAAATATAATAGTATGTGATGTTTATATTTTATTAATATGTATAAGCTTTCTGATGATAAAGTACAGTTTTGTATTTTATAGGATATATTAATATTACAAACATAAGTAGTTTTTCATGTTTTCTGAGTAAAAAGATTTACATGTTTTGATAGCAATTTTCTGAAGAATTGATAGTGACAAATGGATACAAATGTAGGTCAGCTTTATGAATAAAATAAGCACTATTTAATTTAAAAATCTATAACGCCGTTAAATATAAGCTTTTAGTGCTTGAAAAATTAATAATTGTGATTATATACTTGTATTAACAGAATGCGTGAAGTGTTTGAAGCGAAACAAAGTAACGTGCATAAAATAGACGAGCTCGGAATAGAACACGGTTTATCGGTCGTCATGGAGCCATTTTTGGATGATTATTTCTATCCGATAATGCCTGTTACGGGTTGGAAGGCAAGTATAAAAATGGCACCAAATATTATTTAGAAAAACCAACTGTCGAGAAAATCAAACAGAGAGACTCGTAATATCTTACATTCACCAAAATGATTTTATTTTCAAACTAAAATTAAATTTGCCTTCAAGGTAAATTTATTCATTCTTCATGTTAAATTAAAATATCTGGCAAATTTTTGACAAATTTTTTTCATAATTTTAATTAACGAAAAAGAATGGCTTTGTTTAGCCTATAGTAAGAAACTACATAATTATACAAGACGTTTCACTTAATTTAGTCAGCGTTATTCATAATCCTCTTTCTTATTCATAAGTGTGGGGGTTTCAGAACATGAATAATTAAAAATAAAATATTATAAAGAGTTCGTCAGGATGTATTTGATATATGGATACAGTTTCTATAAGCACTTACTATACTCGATATTAACCCGAGACAGGTAGGTCAACTCAAAAATAATAATACACATGTGTCTCGGTCGATGTTTCTAATACGACTCTCTCGAATAATATACATGCTGTCGCGAAACGGAATCATTCGATGATCATGCGCAAAGTGATCTCACGCATCACGGTTAGGACACGTGTCCAAAATAATACGAAACATAATCGTCTACATAAGTAAAAGTTTTGTTATAAGCTGTTATTTAAAATTGCGAAAAAAGAAATGATACAGTCAGAAGAAATTTCATGGGAACAATTAGTAGTTCTAATTAATTCACAGTTCTAATCAAATCGCAGGAATCCACGTTTTTATTTTTTTTTTTTAATATATCCAGTAAGTTCATGTAAAATAAATTGTAGAATATAACATGTATTAGAATATATGTAAATTTTTAAATTACAATTGAATATTTAAAAAGTAATGTATGTAATCTAAATATTATTCTTTCGCGGAAACAGAAGGCACATACATCACGCTAAGAATATTTCTAGCTTTCTGGCACAGAAAATATTCTGATCTAACATATAATTTAGAAGATCCCGCTTGAAAATTGCCTGGAAATATCTTCGTCTACGCGAGCTGCGAAAACGGGTCATATTGACTCACATAACGAGTTATTACCACAAGTGTTGAATATGAAAAGAGGCTAATCGAGCGAAATGAAGATTTATTCTCTCAATGCTTTATCATACCAAAGTAGCATTAATGTTCGATTTTATAGTAAAGTATCATGAAATATATTCATGTTTTAAATGCATTTAATACACATAATTAGAAAGTGATAATGTTCGCTCTTGCATAGTAAATGCTTACTGAATTAGTTTCAAGAACAAAGCTATATGTTATAAAATTATATAGTATTGTTATATTTATATACAAATCTTTAAGAAGAAGTTAGAAGTAGATTATAAAATTTTATTTTTTATTTATTATGAAGCTAATTATACATAATAAAATTGTAATTCGACAATTAGTAACAAAAATAGGAGACAAAAATAGTTAAAAAATTATTTAATTATATTGATTTTATTTCAAGATATTAATATAAAAAATTAATTTAAGTGTAAAAAAGTGCAGAAAATCTGATATCTCTACTCCATAAAAAAATGCAAATTTTTCAATATTCAATATAACCATTTTCAGACAAGTAATATTTTAAGCATTGTAATAATTGATACAGAATATAGCAATTTTGAAAATTAAGGGGTACAAGATATATGTTATGTACTTAATATACAATTTTAATTAAATTACCAAGCTCAATCAAACTTATTACTGCCATGAAAATAATCAGTTACTACATTGTGCCTTTTTCTATGCTTATCACAACATAATGAGCCACTTGTGCTTTATTCGTCCATATTACGCAACGATAAAAGAACTCATGGAAGTTATTAGCAACATGCAGCATGATATAATCGCGCGTGTCCTTCACTTCACATATATTTGCGGTGTAGTCTATTATTACTTTAGGTTGTAAAGGTTTACGTATAATATGACATTGTACAAATTAATTTATTTATTTTTGTATCAATGCGATTTTTTTCAGGAAAATTTGTTTTTATTTCTGCACTTCAATAAAACATCGAGATACTCTGTTTATAAAAAATGCAACGAAAGTAACAGCATGACTGTATTATAGTATTTTAAAGTGTCAATAGCATAATTACATGCAAAAACGTAAATCAACAAAAATTATATCTCTTTTTCCAGTATAAACATGTAATACATCTAGTTACAAAAACTATGCAAATCTTTCGAATAAATTCATTAAAAAATATAATACGCAAAATGTTTATATTAAATTAATGTAAATGTTTTATGAGTTATATACTCACATTGAAATCTAATGATTATCTGAATGTAATTCAATGACGTTCTCTTGAATATAACCGAATAATACCAAATAGGAAATCGTATACTATGAGAAACCAAATATTCTCGAATATATTTCACAGGCAAACATAAATGATATTATTTAGCATTATCTTACTTCTCATCATATTTGCAAATTATTTTATTCATCATAATTTATTGTATTAATTATTCTGTAAAAAATAATTTATTAAATTGCACAAATTAGAATGAGTAATATTTCTCGAATTTTCGTGAGACAAATAAAAGTTTAATGAAACAGATATTTATTGTGTTTTGCAGATTATCATATTTCATCCTTATGATTTCCCGGATGTATGTAGCGGTGGTGTCACGGAAGTACTCGTGATACCCTGCACTGAGACATATGTGGATATGAGCGCAACGTCTTTCTTTAGCACTGATATTATCGAGACTTTCCCCATCAATCAACGCAATTGCATTTTCGCAGAAGAAATACTTACTAGTGGCAAAACTTATACTTATAGTGACTGCATTGTCGACTGTAAGATTAACGACATGTTAGAGCTTTGCAAATGCAGACCGTTTTTTTTTCCAAGTCGTGGGGAAAAAGAAAGTTAGTAAGAATATATATTATTGATTTTCTTTAACTCTGACTTTTTAACACTGGCTTTTCATCATAAATCGAAAAATCATCGTATTCAGTATGCACAAATTTATTATTAAAGATTGTTTGTAATTAATATCAAATAGATCCCGTATTATTCTTATTGTTAGAGGAAATGTCTTTCATAAATTGACATTACTATATTTAACAACTTAATTATATTTAACAAAATTTTCAAAATAGAATTGGTATCATTTTTGAGATTAATAATTGCGTTGCATTGGGATAAAAATTCTCTTCATTTTCATTTGTATTGTAACTTTGTTAAGAATTTTTGTTGCATGACATTTTTAAGTTGCTTAACTTGAACGAAATTAAATAAGTAATAAGGAACACAATTTAAGTCTTCTATGTGAATAAAAAATTCTTAATTTTTGAGGTTTTAAATTAGATTTCTTGAGAGCTCTCGAAATCTAGCTCTAACTGACTTTTAAATCTCCCAAGTTTTGCAAATTAAAAGTTTAATCATGCGAATTATTTTTGCTACTTTTTTCATTTTCTAAATACAAGTTTTTATATATATTTTTAACATCAATGCAGCATGTCATCAAATAGCACAAGTTTTATATAATAATTGCAAATAATTACGTTATGAATCTAATGTGTGATCAAATTATTTTGTGTGGTTGAAAACCTTAGCAAAACGCTTTCTCGATACTAACTTCGTAAATCGGTTCTGATCGAATCGTGTTTCCGAACGATGAACGAGTTCCAATGTTAATAAAAACGAGCGGTAACATCTCTCTCTCTCTCTCTCTCTCTCTCTCTCTTCTCTCTTAAACTCTGCTCTTGTGAAAATGTGAACTGCAGCTTTCATTGACGTTCTTTCGCATTGTACCAAACTATATTAAGACTGACAATTCGACAATATTACTAGCAATTTTCAGAGTAAATCATGTTGTCACTTTTTTATACTTTTGTTTTTTCTTCAAATTTTATCTCCCAGCTCTTATATCTTTCATCCGATGGCGCCGTTGAAAAATATATAGTTGATATACATATCAAAAAGTATGATATAAAGACATGACAAAATCTTTGCGATTATTATTAATGTAAATAAAATATGATTAACAATTTTATAAGAATATATAAAAACAACTGAAAAAGAATATGCATTTTATTGATGGAAAAAATCTTTAGATTGCTGCAAATCATCTATTGTAATAAAAAAGTACTTGTTTGTGCGAATTTAGTAATACATATTTTAATTTTTTTATTATTACAGAATAATGATTATTTTTATTTATCAAAAATTGAGATATTAATAAAAGAAAAGAAATAAGAAAGCAATCTGACAATGAGTGGTCTAATATGTGTGTGTGCGTGATAATGTCATAGACAACATATCTTTCAAAGTCAAAGTTTCCTTCAATTCCTACTTTCTCCCTTATACTCATACAAGTTCCAATTCTTTTTCTTTTTATCATGAAAATTAAAAGAAAACAAGAGTACATTAACAACATTAAATCAATAATGTATATACTGATAAAAATAGTTATTATAAGCATCAAGATTACTCGATAATTAATTGCAATACACAACGTGAAAAAAAAAATAAATAATAAATAAAATTATATATAAATAAGAAATAATTTGTCTAATAAATAATCGTTGAAATCGGAGCAGTTATGATTGCGACAATTGAAAGAAATACGTAAGCCGCAACGAGCGCGATCTATTTTACTCAGAAATATTACTTGATGATTTATTTTAATCAGAAATATTACTTGCGAGACTAGAAATAAGATTGAGGAAGGCGAAAATACGCGGTAAGGACCGTATCTCATTGGATAAATCGGGTTTCTCCGGGAGTTCCGTGTACCCTCTTACATCCCGGCGATTTCTTTCTTCCATCACGAAGTCGAGAGGCATGGGCGGCAATCTGTAAAGGAACATTGCGCACCGCATTGCGAAGCGTACGCGTTCGCGAGCTTTCTAACGAGGCTTTACCACGGGTGGCTTAAAGCATTAAAGCGGATCGTGCGAAGCACCGCTCTGTAGGATTAACTTACCGTAGCCGAGGCTCTCTGTAGCAAAGAAGAGGAACGCGCTGAAAGCTCTCTCTCTCTCTCTCTTTTTCCCCCTCTTTCTCTTTCTTTCTCGTTTTTTCTCTTTCTCTTCCTCTTTTTCTATTCTTTCGTTTTAAAGCCGCCCCGATTGCTCATTTTCCCGCGCTTTCTATCGATAGCGCAGGGTGCTTGGACTCGTTTTTTCTCGCAACTGGCTCCTTCGTTCTCCATATTAATCAACAACACGTGCGACGACGCCTGCATGATGTATTCCTGCATTCTATCTCTCGTACTGTTCGAAGTATAAGTACTTTTTCGCAAATTCTTATTTTTGTAATTTTATCTGACACCGAAAGTAAATTTCGGCGATGTGGCACAGTTTTTTCTTGGCAAACACGATATGATATAGCGAAGCTTTAACTCGTTGAGATTATGAGAAATAGAAAATATCTTTCATTTTTGCCAAACCGAGTATCCGAGTATTCTCTACTTTATAATAATAATAAAAAATATATGTATATATAATAGAGAGAGAGAGAGAGAGAGAGAGAGATGCACATAATTTAATCTAAGTTTAGATTAAAATGTAATCGTGTCATATACTTATATGAATCATAACTTGGAAAAAGTATCGAGCAAAATTGATATTCTGAAAATGTGTGCCTTTTTACACCACACTTCTAATATATTTACAACCTAGAATATCAGGATAAAATATAGCTATAATAAAATTGGATATAAATTTGTTTGAGTTTATACACATAATTATGCATAAGAGGAGCTTTGCTTAATTTTAGTCACGTATATATGTATAAGAATTCGGTTTCTTTTTTTATAAATTAATTTTACAGATTTTTTATTTATAATAAATTTATAATTTATAATTTAAATGTATAATTTCTAGTACAATTTATATATATAGTTCGTTAACCATATATATATATATATATATACATATATATAAAAAAACATACATATGTGTATAATTATATATACATACATAATGTAATTTTAAAAATTTACAATCACTAGGAAACAGGTTCTGGCATTTTTAATATTTTATTATTATAGAATATAACTTAGCTTCGCACACGTAATTATATTCGATTAGATTAAACGAAATGAGAAAAATATATATGCACAAAGCAAAGTTATATTATTCTTTGATAATAAAATGTTAGAAATTGCAATGCATGCATAACAATTATTATTGCAATGCATGCATAAAATATATTAATTAATTATGTAATGCGTAAAAATTTAAATCTCTTTAATAAAAATATAATTTTCTACAAGAAAGATCTTTCGATAAAAACTCCCATACTTATTTGCATCCCATACAATTGCAATATGTATGTATATCCAACTTAGGGTGGTACTTATTTATTCTTGATTAACATTTTTTTTCGAATTTTTCCGCGACACTCTTCAAAAAATGTTTCCCTTCTTAATATATATACACATATTATATTCTAGTTTAAATATACATATATTTACATATTATTCTATAATATATAGGATAATATTTTTTATGTTTTATTCTAGAATATATTTTATTTTAGATATGCAACGTATTTGTACTAATAAAGACTTACCCTGCCTGAGTAAACATAAATGTAAGTGTGTGTGCTATCAATGTACTATCAATTTAAAGTTTTGTTAATTTACAGTTTTCCTTTCTTCATATAAATAATTAATATATGTCAAAATTCTAATATATTTATATATTATTTATTTTATTTTATATATGTAAGTATAAATTAATTATTCTAATATATATTTATATATTATTTATTTTATTTTATATATGTAAGTATATAAATTAATTAATAATTATAATTATATTAATTATCGAATAAAAATTTGCTATATTAATTTTTCATTTTTTTTCTATGGATAATAGCTAAATGGTGGACGGTTTTTCCTCATGAGAATAAAGAAGAAATTATGCCAAACAGCGAGTGGGCCTTGCATTGTCATAATTGTTATCCTGCTTGTGATGACACTGGATATGATGTGCGGAGTTCAATGAGTTATATGTCCACTGGTGAACATAGAACTGAATTACTGTAAGTATATGACATAAGATGTGACATTCTTGTCAATACAAAAAATACCTTGTAAATACAAAGAAAAAAATTCTCTAATCAATTTTAAAAAAGAAACTAAAATAAAATAACTGTGCAATTCAATTTCAGAATGAACTACAATGTTACGGATCAGGGAGTATTGCATGTCTTCTTCTCGAAATATGGCACAATCAGGTTGAAACAAGACGTTATTTATTACTGGTACGAACTTCTGAGTAAGTACATATTGTTAAAAAATTTATTTGAATAGAGTGCGAAATAGAATCGAAAATTTATAATTCTGAATGAATCAAAATATTTAGATATTTATGTTATAAAATAAGAATTTTCAAAAAGATTATAAATTTAATCATTTGAATACAAAATCAAATTATCAATTTAAATATAAAATTTTCTATTTTATTGATAGCTTTTGTGAAATATATATTTTAATAATAAAATTTCTCTACCAAAAGTCAAAATGAAATTTTCTATATCTTCTAACTTATCAATCTTATTTGTTTTGTAAAATAAATAAGATTGATAAGTATAAAAGATACAGATCATTCCATCAAACTTTATAATTGTGTTTATGAACTTGGCATCAAAAAAATATTGGATGGACATTGTACTATAATTAGATCTTTGAAAATAAACTCTGAAGATTTTTTGTTTTACGATACTTAATCGCATGTTGCGAAAAAAGTCTCGAATAAAATTATAAAATGTCATTGCTATATAAATTATATATTGCGACCGCCTCTCCGTCCTCTCTCGTCAAACTAAGAGAGAGAGGGCGAGAGAGACTGCTGCGCAACCTCGTCGTGCCGCTCTCCGTTCTCTCGATACTTGCTCGGTATCACTGATTGCTCGGTATCGTATCTTTTTGGGCGCCAGGTGCGGTCAGGCCGCACCACTCAACAATAGCTCAACTAATAATCAGCGGACACGACGGCTCGGCCTCGGTAGCTCGGTATCAACAAGGGGTAGAGTGTCGTGGTTCTTTCCGTAAGGAGATTCGGAATCGCAGTCCCGGAGAGAGAGAGGAAATCTCGATATTGATTGTACTCAGAAATAGGATAAAATAAGAATATATTTTCAGTTAATAGTATATAAATGGGGTGAATCAAAGTAGCTATAATTTTATTATCGAGCCGTTGGGAGATCGCTGGGTGTTATCGAAATCTTTAGTTATCGTTACTCTCCTCCCTTTGTAACCGGCTCGGAATCGAATGGATCATATACCAATCCAGCGTAACTTATTCTCAAATTTCGTTAATTAATGACTCGATACAATGCTACAAATATAATATACTACGATATGACTGTCGACTCGTTTCGGTGCCCCTCGGAGAGGCGAAGAAGGCAAAGATTTACGCAATAACTTAATGACGCGGGAATCGACGTGAGTCCCGTGAGTCTCTCCACTAATTCTCGGTACTAAATGATTTACAGCATAATTGCTCGGTATCGTTAATTTTCTCTAATGACTCACGGATCTCTGCCGAATCCGCGCTTACCGGACGATCGAGGAGGTGGCCTTACAATATTTCGCCGTCGCAGTGGGCTGTAGTGGGTCGTTGTCCCTGGGTGTGCTCGCAGGACACCGGCTTGCCGAACAGTGATTTCCGTTCGGGCCGGCGGGACCTCGGCAGGTACGCTGGTGGGGAGGGGGAAGACAATGCGCGCCACCCCGGCCCGGTTGCCAGGTTTCGCGGCAGCGTTGCGCCCCGCGCCGGACCCGGAATCGATCCTCGTATCGATTCCGGTGTCTCGCGGCTGGTCGCGGACTTCCGCCGCCAAATTCAAATTCCAGCCCTCGGGAGCGATGATGTAGCGGGTCCATTTTCGGCGGTCCCGTCCACACCTCGTATGGCCGTATGCTGATGTTCCAAACGACCTTTCTTGGCTGAGGGAAGTCGTTCCGGGGTGATCAATCCCGTTAGATCTCCGTGTTTCTCTCGAGGCGTGGTGGCGGGCCCCTCAGGGCATCATCCTTGTCGAGGGATGTAGGCGCCTTTTACTCCCTGATCTGGACTGCTCCTGTTCGTCCCATCGAAGCTGTAACGAGTTTCTCTGCAGTATCGCTTCCTTATTTTCTCGGTACCGTGTATAGGTTATCGTTCGTAATACTCACCGGGCCGGTCGCTCAGTCTCTGCTCCTCCCCTTTCGAGGTCGTTCCTCCGTCGCCTGTCCGGGTCCTCTTCTCCCTAAAACAATGGCCGTTCTCCTGGCCTACCACCTCGATCCCGATACAGAGTGCGGGCGAGCTAGCGAAAAGGTCGCTGCTCACCCGCACGAGACACAAAATAATATAGCGCTCTCAGACGCTTCCCGGCCGGGCGCGTCCGCCCTTGTGACGGGCTCAAAAAGACCACGTCACAACTCCCCCCTTCCTGGGGAGGACCGAGAAGGTCTTGGACATCGACCCACATCGATGACCACCCACTCGATCACTGCCTCAAACTCAAACTTTTCTCTCGCCATGCCCTCCACCCACGAGGTCCCGAATTCTGCCGACAGTCATGATTAGGTTTTACTTCCCGCGATATCTTAAGGGAGTCTCACCTCCCGAGACCACCACTCCGAAGGTGTCGCTCCGGGATGGGACAGACAATAGGGTGTAATTAACGGGGTCTCACATGTCTTATTACGAAAGTCCGTTTATTGACCTCCTCAGGTACAATTCGTGTACGCCCTACGGGGTGTTCTTGGCCCCTCCTCGGTATCTGGTCTCCCATCTCCTTCCTTTCGGGCCGTATGGGCCAAGCAATAATAAAAGAACCAAAAAAAAAACATCGGGGAGGAAGTCGGGGGGTCACCGAGAACAAAGAGAAAAAGGTGAGGGGCTCCCTAGGGGCGAAATAATAAAAAAAAATAAATAATAATAACAAAAAAAAAAGATTAATAGGGGCTGCCAGCCCCCCACAAAAAAACAAAACAAAACCCGTCATTCGGAGGGGCTAGGGGTACGGGGTGGTACGGGGTCCCCTGTGTCTTCCGCTACGCTCCGGCGGTGGTCCCCGGCGTGGTCCCCTCTCGTCTTGCGAGGGGTTGTCTCTCTCGTAGGTGGGCCCGCAGCGTGGGCAGGTCCTCACCGTGGTTCCCCTTTGTCCGCACCCGTAGCAAAAATCCGTCCTCCGCGGCTGGGGGCAGGCGGCGTAGCGGTGGCGCCCTCCGCAATTCCAGCAACCCAGGGGTAACTGGTCCCTTATGGGCTGCTCGGCTCGGGATCTGGTGTGGGATGGCGTGCGTGTGTTTGCACTTGGCGGCGTGGGGGTCCGACCGCGGTTCCTTGGTGGCGAGAACGTTCCGGGGCGAGGCGGCGACGTCGCAGCATCGACGGTCTCCCGGGCCGTACGGGACCAACGCAACACAAAATAGGTTTGGGTCGCCCGGTTCGTCCTCGCCGGCACCACCCGCACGGTTTGTCCGACGTCCCTCATCGGGGGACGCACACGGACCTCTCCGTCGGCCGCTGACAGTGCCGTCTGGCTCTCCGCTTCCCTCGTTGCTGGGAAATCGCGAACGACCGCGCCCCGCGTGGTGCTGACGAGGCGTCGGACGGTCTCCGCGGTGTCCGCCATATCCGCCCATACCTCCGGGTAGTGCTCGTCTATCTGGAGGACGAGATCGGCATATCTCCCCCAGAACTCTCCCCATTCCTCCTCTGCCGGATTCATCTCCTCTACTCGGGAGGATTTTCCTGTGTTTCTCTCGGTATCCTAGTCAGGGTCGGGGGAATAGTAGGGTTTTAAATATTGTATGTGGCTTTTACCGGCGGCTGACCCATCTAGACGAGTCAGCTCGTAAATTACGGAGGACAATTTCCTCCCGATTCGGAGGGGACCTTCGAATTTGGGTGCCAACTTTGCCGCGAAGTTATCGGCGGCCGACGAAAGGACGTGCCGCCTTCGCAAGACTAGTGCACCCGTACGAAAACTGCGAGTTCGACGCCTCAGATTATAGTACGTCGCCTGTTTTTCCTGGGCCTCCTCTAAACGTTCGCCAACCCATTCCCGAATCAACTTCAGCCGCTCCATTCTATCCGACCAAACCGCGGGATCGGCTGCGTCGACCTGAGCCATCTCGTTACCTCGGTCTCGCAGCCTCCCTCTCGGTATCAACTCTCGGCCCAGATTCAGGAATGCCGGCGAAGTTCCCAGGGAGGAATGCTCCGCGGTATTATATGCAAACCGGAAGTCCGCAATATTCCGGTCCCAATCCCTATGATCCCTATCTATGTAAGCGACTATCATTGTTTTTAAAACCCTATTCACCCTTTCTACGGGGTTCGCCTGAGGGTGGTATGGAGGGGTGGTATCGTGCCGTATCCCGTTTTCGCGGGCGAATTCCTCTATCTCCCTATTCACGAACTCGGTACCGTTGTCCGTCAGTAAACATTTGGGCGTGCCCCAACGCGAAATAACTAGGTCTACTAAAGATTCCCTAATTTTTGGACCTGTCGCGGATCGGAGAGTCTTACACTCTATCCACTTTGTGAATAAGTCCTGAATCACTAGTAGGTATTTGAAACCGGACTTACTACGCGGTAAGGGTCCCATAATATCGGCGGCAACCACCGTCCATGGAGCTTCCGCTATTCGCCTACCCATGAGTCCCGCAGGACAGGCCTGCTCGACTTTTGTCAGTTGACACGTGCCGCATTTCTTAACATAACCTACTACATCTCGGAACATTCGCGGCCAGTAGTATGAGACCGCGAGACGCTGATATGTCTTCTCGATACCTAAGTGTCCGGATTGAGGAGCGTCGTGGGCTTCGCGTAACGCCTCCCTTCGTGACTCACTCGGTAGCACTAATTTCCATCGGTTCAGGTCTTCTACTATGTCCGAAACGACCGGCTTAGATCTTAGAAAATACAATTGGGCGTCTATTATTCGCCATTGATTGTAGCGATCCGGATCGCTCGCGACCTGTTTGAATCGATGTTTATACCATTTATCCGTGCTCTCGGGATCGGGATCTTCTCCTATCGCGCCCGCGGCCGCAACTACCGTTTCGTCGCTCTCGACTTCCCCCTCGTAGCTTCTCGATAAAGCGTCTGGTACGTGGTGTAAGGCCCCCTTTCTATGAATAATTTCGTAGTCGTATTCCAATAACTCGAGGGCCCACCTGGCTAATCTGCCCGTGGGATTCCGCAAGTTATGGAGCCACCTCAAACTACTATGATCTGTTATTACGGTGAATTTGTAACCCTCCAGATAGGGACGA